AATGTTATTCCTTTAATGATTTCCTTAGTATTATCATTTCATTCTGATGAATAAAGTGTCCCACATTTGCTTTCTGATTGCTGTTATTATGGATTGTTTTCTATATAATCTTTACAAATGGCACTTTGGGGTTATTATTCCTATGTTTTATTTTTTTGGTTAGTATTTAATTAATTCTTTTCAATGGTTATTGTGTTTTCCACTTGTTTGCTTTCATTACAACATATTTGTATACTAAAATTAACTTTTGCTTTTTAAGAAGAAAATTGATAATGTGAGCTTTATTAATGGACTTCAGTAAAATTAGCCTGAGGTCTGTCTACATGGTCAAAGATGTCTAATTATTTGCTTAGTGAAGTACTGATTATATAATCCTATAAATTTATAAGTACTATCTTAATAAAACATGTGAAATACATTCAGTTTTCTAAGCATTTCACATCATGTAATATTTTACAACATTTTCACTGAACTATTTAACCCTACTTAGCAAATTTTGAAATTGTATTGTCTAGGAAATTCTTAAAGATTCCTCTGAAAATACATTAATCTTTCTGGGCAGTAGTGGCACACACCATTTGTCCCAGCACTAGGGAGGCAGAGGCAGGTAGATATCTGTAATTTCAAGAACATCCTGGTCTACAGAGTGAGTGCCTGTAAAGGCTCTAAAGCTACAGAGAAATCCTGTCTTGAAATCCCACCAAAAACCACACTAATCTACAAGTAAATATTATATTCAAAGACATACCACCACAATACTCACTATAACATGCAGGGGTAGGGACTGAGGCATACAATAATGCAATAGAAGAACAGAATGTCTGCTTTTATTTAGTTGTTATGATTTTTATAACAAAAACAGTTTATTATAAAGAATTTTAATTAAACATAGGTTCAGACCCCAAAGGAAAACTATAATTAATACTATACCTATAAATAAGATAAAATAAATACTAGGCTATATTCTCATATATTAAATGCTTCATATTATATAGTTGGGGCTATATTAAGATACTTTTGAAATTTGAGAAATTTCCCAAACACAACAACACATTCCCTTACTCACTCTGTTTCTTTTATTTCCTTTTCCACCAGATTGTATGGTATTGGTACCCGAATAAAATATTTATCTGTAACATCTTATAGATATAAATGCAAAAAATATTTTTCTTTTAATTACAAGAAAAAAGTTTTTCTTGGTAAAAGTAGTTTTATTTCTTCCTCTTTTATAATTTAAATTAGAAACAAGCCAGTTTCATAAGTCAATCCCAGCTCACTCTCCCTCCTTTCTTCCATAACTCGCCCAAAATCCCCCATACCATATTTCCTCCACTCCCCAGAGGGTGAGGCACTCTATGGGGATTCCCAAAGCCTGTCACATCATCTGGAACAGGTCCCAGTCCCCCCATGTATCCAGGCTGAGAGCACATGCCTTCACGTGAAATGGACTCCCAAAATCCATACCTATGCCAGGGGTAAATACAGATCCACTACCAGAGGCCCCATAGATTGTCGAGAGAACCTTACAGACATCCACATTCCTGGGGTCTGGATCATTCCCATGCTGACCTCTCAGCCATCTTTCTGGGGACCATGTGCTTCCCCTTGTTCAGGTCAGCTGCTTCTGTGATCTTCATTAGCCTGGTCTTGACACCTTGCCCATCACTCCTCCCTCTCTGCAACTGGGTTCCAGGAATTCAATTCAGTGTTTGGCTGTGGGTGTCTGGCTTTGCTTCCATCAGTCACTGAATGAAGGGTCTAGGGTGACTTATAAGCTACTACTCAGTGGAAAAAAAAATGGAATCTTGAAATTCGCAGGCAAATTGATGGCACTAGAAGAAACCATCCTGAGTGAGGTAACCCAGCCAACTCATATATTAATTTTAAACATGGAGTAGGGGATTGCCAGCCTCCAATCCACTGGGAAATAGTGAGGACATTCAGAGAGACATATATGTTACCCTATAGAAGGGGAAGAGGACAGGATCTCCTGAGCAAATTAGGAGTATGAGGGGAGGGAAGAAGAAGAAGAAAGATGAGGAAATGGGAGACAAGGAAGCCTGATTCAGGGGAAGAATAGAGGAGAGCAGCATGAGTGATACAATAAGAGAAGGAGCCATTATAGGTTTGAGGAAAGATCTGGCACTAGGGGGATTTCCAGAGATATACAAGGATGACACCAACTGGCAATCTAAGCAATAGTGTAGAGGTTACCTTAAATGTCTTTCACCTATAATGAGATTTAAAAAATAAATTTTTTTTTTATTAATATTTTTTTTATTTTCCATTTTAAATTTAGATAAGAAACAAGGTTGCTTCACAAGTCAGTACGAGGTCCCTCTCCCTTTCCCTCCCCTCCTCCCGTGCCCTCCCCCCATCCCCCCCCCGTTATCCCCTCATTCCCCCAGGGAGGGTGAGGCCCTCCATGGGGGTGTCCATAGTCTGTCATTTCCTATAGGGCAGGGCCTAGACCCTTCCCCAAGAGTTCAGGGTGAGAGTGCACCTCACATTGTTCAATGGGAGTCCAAAGTCCGTGTGTATACTTGGGATGGGTACTGATCTGCTGTCTGGGTGTCAGTGAGGAGGCCTAGGTAATCTATTGAGCCTTGGACAGCAGATCAGTAAAAAATAAAATTTTGAGAAGAATATAAGTGGCAATTTGTTAAGCCTCTAGCATGTTTATTAAATATTCCTGGTTAAGAAAAATATCAAATCCTAGCAGAGGGAAACAACTATTGAAATTAGAATATGTTAAAAATCATAGGCTGAAGTAATCTTTGTTCATCACACAAGTAGGAAGAAAACTAATATAAAAATATCAAAAGGAAATTGGAAATAATACAAAGTTCAACATGAACATGTCAAAATATTTCTATCCTGAATCCAAAATTTTTGGATATTTTAAATTTTAAACCTGATAAATTTGATTGTCCTAAAGTCTTATTTTGTTATTCTGAATTTTTAGTGAACCTTAATTTTTGTTATACAATAATACTTTCATTCTTATAAATTGTTCATGGAAGCTAATGATCAATAGATTATAGCAAAATTACTTAGCAGAAATAAGAACCTGACATGAAACATGATTATATGAACTGATTTCTAGAAACTATCATTGAAGAAGAGATTTCACACCAAAATATTTTCAATGATTTTTCCATTTGTGCTTTGGTATGTGCATGCATGCACTGACATATACACACACACACAAACACACACATATTATATCACATCATGCATCAAATATTATAAATAATAAATAGATAAATACAAATTGAATTCACACAAAATATCAAAATATAGACTCAAGAGAAAAAAGGTTTGCTGAAATAAGACAATTTTACATTCATATTACCTTTGAATGATAATTTTCCAAATTATACAAAATGTAATTCTTCATACTCACTCATTGCCTATAGTTATTTTTTCTTTCAGATCTAATGTATCTATCTATCTATCTCTTTGTCTATCTATCTGTGTATCACCGATTCATGTATGGAGTTGTATCTATCTATCTATCTATCTATCTATCTATCTATCTATCGATCTATCTATCTATCTATCTATCTATCTATCTATCTATCTATCTCTTTGTCTGTCTATCTTATCTGTGTATCACCCATTCATGTATGGACTGGATTGTAGCTAAACCATGGTAATTCAATGTTTATCATGCACTATATTTCTTTGTTGAGTATCACACACACAAACACACACACACACACATACACACACACAGAGTTTTCAACAAAATGAAACATAAAGTCGGTAACTTCAATCGAGGGTGAAATTCACTCTAGTATCCCCAATTTTTTATTTTTTTGTTGACATTCATTAAGTAAATGCATAAGAAACATACAGCTCCTTGAAAAGAATACAAAGAAATCACAGAGTACCTGTTTTCTTTCTTGTTTTGTAACAAGTCTATTTAATATAAGCCAAAGATCTAAATATTTTCTCTAGAGAAGTTCAAAATTTAATTTAGAGTGTTCTTAGCAATGTCATTCAGAAAAGCTTCTCACCTGGGATTCTGTTGTTTTTCTTATTACCTTACTAAATTCTTATAAGAATTTACTGGAGTACATTCTGTCAAGAAATTCAGAAGAACCACTGCAATTTGGATTCCTGAAATTACTATTCAGTTGTTCTGCAAATGTGGGAAGCAAGATAGTAACTTTTGTGTCAGAGTTGCAGAGAGTAGCCTGGGACCGACAGGGTTCTGAATAGTTGAAGTAGGCTAAAATGTGTCTTAGTAGTTAATGTAAAATAGCCTTCATATCCAATTTACATATTTCTTCTGTTCCATTAGCATATGATTTGTCTAAAATTTCATATATTTGATGTTGTTTATCTGAAGAGAATGTTTTCCCTTTTTATTCCATTTTCAACTTCAGAACTGTCTTTATAACCCCTAATTATTTAATTTAAAAAAGTAAATAACTGCAATGCCTTCTTATTAAAGATGCTTTATAACATCAGTCTCACAATTCCTAAATATATCATGTTTTAGGTAGAAACATTATTTTTATTCATTTATTTAGTATTATTATATCATGAAGAGAAATGTAAGATAAATCATATTTCTATGAAATAAAAAGAGGAGATTAATATTATTTTCACATGGCTTGACTGTTGTATTAATCAATTAGCTGAAGTTTTTCTGAGATAGAAATAAAGAAGGAACTAAGTCAGTTAAATGATAATAAAATTGGATCTCTCTCAATGTCAGCTGTCGATCAAAGAGATTGTTAAAGGAACACTGCAACCTTCAGGCAGATTTATGAGTGTAGTTTAAAACAAATGGAGCTTGAGCTGAAATTTATAGCATTACAATTAGATTATTGCTGGGCTGCAAAATACAATTAACTAGCTTAATTGGATGATAAATTAAATGTCTGTTTTATTCCCTTATTCCCAGCTGCAAATGTTGTAACCTGACTTTAGTAATTATGTGAGAAAATGTTTTTTTAATGTCATTTTTCCTGTTTTCTATGTTTTAGGAATACAAAGAATAGTAAATATTGTAAAAGAATATTGAGAACAAATACAATTTGTTTGCATCATCCTTATTCTTCTGTAGAATAATGGTTAGAATCCAAATACACACAACAATGAATTGCTGCTTCCTGAAACACTGGATATTGGTCATTCCCCTCCTCTGGTTTTGCATTGAAGTTGCTGAAAACTTGCAACCTCAGAGGCCTCAGAGAGCAGCACTATCTCCTGTAAGAGCTAAGCGTGGCTGGCTGTGGAATCAATTTGTGGTACCAGAGGAAATGAATACTAGACAACATGTTGGACAGGTACTTACATTCTGAAGGAGATATGGAAGATGGGTTTATAAAGATTTTGTGTGAATGTGTTGGGAAAGTCTGATGATTTACACATGTTTAAGAGAGCCTTTAGAAACTCCCAAACACAAGCACAGTAATGAATTTCTATTTACAAACACCCACTCACACTTGAAGAGGGAAGTCCAGTTTTCAAATTTCTTTCTGTCTTTTCATGAATGTGTTGCATTATTTATCAACACTGAGAAATGTAAAGATGCTTTTTGTGGAAATAGATCAAAGCATCCACAGAGTGATATATCATTTGTGAGCACTCTTCAGCTTCATATACTGATATGCATAGCAACTGTTGGCTTACCTTCTTTCATATTTAATTAAGCATATTAATCCTATCAGTTTTAGCAGTTACAGAATTTCAAGAGCCTGCTAAGTTTGATTATTTTCACTGCATCAGAGGATTATATTTAAGAAACTTTTCCTTAATGAGACAAAACCTCTCCAATCTTTATATTTATTTTTATTATTACTTGATTGAATTTAAACAAAGATAATTTATATAGAATCCCCTCTTTGTATCTCTTTTGCTTTAAGATAGATGTAGCAAAATAAGGTTCTTGCTAACTAGGTGACAGTAAAATGTAATGAGATTCAAAAGGTGAAGCATTTAGAATTAACTTACTTAAGTTTATTCAGTCCATTTTGGAGAATGAATTTTTGGCATGTTCTTCACAATCTGTGAACACTTGACTTATCCTAACCACAATATATATATATATATATTCAACCACAAATTTTAAAAATCTTACCATGTGTGCCAATCACAAGTGCTATTTTTTCAGGCATTTTTATTTTGTATGGTGTCTTCAGGCAAATAACATACATGGCTATGACACATGAATGAGTGTTTCTGCATGTTATATTCTTAGTCCATTTTAAAGTGTTATTTATAAATGTTTTGCTATAAGAATATATGTGTAACATTTGCATGTATGGTGGTTGTGGATGTCAGAAGTCCTTCTAACTGTATTTAAAGACTACTTTGAAGCAACTTGTGGATTTTGGGAACTGAATAAAAGTCTTCTCCATAAGGATAAAGCATAATAAACCATTTAGCCATCCACACAGACATTATAATTTTAGCCTTACATAATAAAAATATTTACAAATATTAAACATGATTTCCTTCTAAATAAATTCAAATATCTAGTAAAGATAAAGGGTAGTGATGATACAGCCTATTTGATGGTTGTTAAATGATGGTAAATCACTAAGTTCAATTAGGTCAAAATTTACATTGATACTGAATTAAAAACATGAGGAAAACAACATATTTCATAAATTTTTTATCAAAATAAAGTACATTTCACAACATCCTTGCATGCCCAATAGGCATGGATATGAGGCAAACAGTCCAGAGAATATTTGGCTGTTATACTTTCTCCATAAATACTCAGCTCTTTGGTATTTTGAAATTATTTAACAAATACATGCAATACATTTATTTGTTTCTAAATTTCACTTCTCTTGTATTTGTTATTGAGGAAATTCTCAAGTTAACAAAATTATAGAATTTTAGTTCTTTTATCATTAGGTATATTCTTATGTAAATGTATTTCCATTATTACTTCATTAGCCTATGACATAGCAAATTCCACGAATTTATAAATACTTATATCATGTTAAAAATATGTCACAAGGAAGGCATATTGGTTGTTAGTTTCTCTATTTCCTGATGTAGAAATGGTATTTATTTTATTATTACAAATAAATTTTTTAAGCTCTAATATGGTTTTCTTCATGGTCACTTAGTAGAATTTATTATTATAGAACAATAACTCACAACTTATAGCATGAAAAACCCTATAAACTGTAGTTTATGTTGAATGTCTTTCCATGAAGGTCATACTCAGAAGAAGTGTATATTCATAAACAGTGATCCATGGAGAGATGCATGTTCAACAATAATAACGTTTTGAATTATGATGTAATCTATGTTTGTTTAAAATAACTTTGCTATGAGAGGTCATGCATCCTCTCTACTTTTTCAAATAGATAATTGTATTTTTACACACAAAATTGAAATTAATTATAATTAACTGTATAGATGATGACAAATTAGGTGCAGAGCAAATGACAGAATAATCACGAGAAGAAAATGTACATATGAGAATTTACAATGATATACATTGAATTTATTTTTAATACTGAGCTGAATTTCTGACTTGTAAAGTTTTAAATTCTTCCTTTTTCTGTGTGACACATTATCTAGATGTAGGCTACTCTTGGAAGTGCAATGCAAGATAGGGTGATATTGAAATTCTGACTCTCTTGCTACTTTGCGTCAACTGTTGTTCCTCTGTTAGATGGTGCTGGTGATTAAACTCAGGCTGTGTTTGCTTGCAAGCATTCTGCTAACTATGTACAGTGTCTAGCCTCTTGAGGTTTAAATTTCTGTCTATAGTTGTCTTTAGGGGAAGATATGGCCCTTCAAAGCCTGTTGTCCATGTGGCTCTAAGGAAGTTTGAATTGTTTTTCTTTTCCCTGTCTTTTGAAAAGGGTTTATTAAAGAAGGTGAGGATGGTCAGTGAGTAAATATGTAAGAATTGAGGCCTTAATACCTGCATTTGTTCCCTAACACCTAAATAGTGAAAAGAAAGAGTTTACTTTTACCTATAGTCATCTGATGGGTGACATAAGCAGCATGAAAATCTCCACATCCAAACATATACAATGAAAAATAAATATTTTAGGAGAATATAATGATCACAATGATAATAGTTATAAAGCTATTATTTTGTAATTGTATAATAGGGCTGTTAGTAGATTTCAATACAGACAAAAATGTGGTATTAATAAAATTATTCTTTCTAATTCTCTTTATATATATATGCAAAAATTTATGATGATGTCTTTTAGTGACTAAGACTACATTATAAAATAAGTGAACTTATTTGACATAGCTAATGAATATTTTAGAGCAATATTATTTCCTTTTTATCTTTTTCTTATTTATTTTTAATTTATGTTCATTGGTATTTTCCCCATGTGTAAGTCTGTGTGACTGTGTTGGAACTCCTTTAACCAGCATTAAAGATAGTTGTGATCCACCATGTGGGGTCTGGGTTTTGAACCTAGTCTTATGAAAGAGCAGCCAGTGTTTTCAAATATTGAACTATTTCTACAGCCCTAAAAGTCTAAACTAATAAGAGCAAACTAATTAGAAGTATGTGGAATTTTAATTAGTATAATTATAAATAATAATAAAATATAATTAGACTAACTATATGTAATGCAATTAGTATTAGTATCTAAATAGTTCCAAAATAATTGGACTTATTTTTTTAAATAGTAATATTGCTACTTCACTATATTGGAAATTAAGATCCTCTTCAATGCCAGAGGAAGATGTACATGTGATGTAAATATTTTACCTCATTTGATATGATGAGGAATTATCAACAGGGTTGTTATGGTTCATGCATTTAAACAGAGCACTGGGGAAACCAAAGTAGGTGAATATCTGAGTTCAAAGCAAACCTTGACTATAGAGTGAGTTACAGAGAAGGCAGGGTCTGGTTGTGTATACAGGGCTACACAAAGAAACCAGGTCTCAAAAATCAAATAATAATAATAAAAGGAACTGAATAGAACTGTTCATTTGATACTGTTTAAAATACATGAGAATCATGAATACAAAGCTGAATTTCCCATGTGTCTGGAAATTTACTTGTCTATCATTACTTGCAGCTAAGATCTGAATTGGACAATGGAAACAACTCTTTCCAGTACAAATTATTAGGGACAGAGGCTGGAAGCTTCAGCATTGATGAACGAACAGGTGACATATTTGCCATACAGAAGCTCGATAGAGAAGAAAAATCCCTGTACATCCTGAGAGCACAGGTTATAGATACGACCACTGGAAAAGCTGTGGAACCTGAGTCTGAGTTTGTCATCAGAGTTTTGGATATCAATGATAATGAACCCAAATTCCTCGATGAACCTTATGAGGCCACAATACCAGAGATGTCTCCAGAAGGTATTGCATATTAATTTATAACGGAGCTTTATTTACAATTATAATGAATTAAACTTATCAGTACATGTTTTGTAGAACATTGTTTTAAATTCCATATTAACCTTTCCTGTGACAAAATTTTAAGGGAAATACTTGCAAAATTACATAACATAATAATATTTTATAAGGTAGAAGTAGAAGAAAAAATATAAACTACTTCCTACTGAACACTATTTAGTACTTTATGTATTGTTGTTTCAGAATTGTTTGAACTTTCATAGTATAATATGATGATTTTAATTCTTGCATAGACTATGAATGTAACCTATATTCTTTCTGCCAGCAGCCTCTGTCTCATTGCCATTTTAGGATCCAAATAACACACAAAATACTTTATTAATTTTGAAGCTGTTGGTTGTTTACTTTAATTTCTTATTGGCTAGCTCTGACTAAATTATTAACCCATAACTGCTAATCTAAGTATTTCCACAATATCTACTCTTACCAGAGAAAGGGTCTAGACCTCTTTTTTCTCCTGCATCCTACATCATGACTGCCTGTGCCTCTGTTTCCCAGAATTTCCCTTGACTCCTAGGGCCACCTATCTTGCTTCCCTATTGACCAAAAGTGCTTGATTCACCAACCAGTAAGATAAGCACATATACAGAAGGACTTCCCTCATCATATGTGTATGCAATAACTTCTTTATATATAATGCTGGTATTTGGTATTTGAAGTGAATTGGATTTCAAACTTGAATATTCAAGTCGAATCAAGGTAAAATTAACTTTTTTCTCATTTGTAACTCCCTATTACGAATTAATTTCCCTGTAAGTCTACAAATTACATTTAAAATGTTTTGGTTTATATATTTGATGGATTAACAAATTATATAATGCATGTATGAGTTATTAAAGAAAGTAATTTATACAACAATACTACTATAGTCATCAAAAACCAGGAATACAAAAATAGGAGTGCCAGGAAAATTAAATGCAGTTTTGGTCATATCTTTTTAAATCTTATTACCATTAAAGTCATAAATTTGACAAATGAATAAAGTATGAGACAAAATTATCAGCTATTTTGGAGATCAAAAATATCTTTGGCCTAGTCCCGCCTACACCTACCTGGAGTGGTTAATATTGAACATTTTCAGTCCTTCCTTCCCCTCACTCTCCTTGGAGTTTCCTGAACCAGGGACTGAGTGCCTGCATAACAGGCCAAGCACAGCAGGGCAAACCATCTAGGGTCTGCCCATATCACATTACTAGTACTGCCTGCACCAATTGGGATAGGCGTAGACAAGGATTCACCCACTGGGAGAGCCATAGGAACCTTGGACCTCCCTGAAACCCTTGGAGAGAACCAAGAACCAGTACCCACCATGAGAGTGAGAAACCCACAAGAACCCACTGGAAGAAGGTATGGGAACACAACAGTATAAGAACACATTCAACAACAGTAAAGCCAATATAACCCCAACAGAAACTAGGGAGTCTACACCAGCAAGAACTGAACATCCCAATGCAGATGAAACAGAAGAGAATGATCTTAAAAATAACTTAATGAAGATGATAGAGAACCTCAAAGAGGAAATGAAAAAATCACTTAAAGAAATGGAAGAAAATACAAACAAGAAAACAAATGGAGGAAAAGACAAACCAAAAACATCCAAGAGATGAACAAATCTTAAAGAAAGCAAGGAAAGCCATGAAAAAACAATGAAACAAGTGAAGGAAACAATTCAGTTCCAGGCTTGAGTGCTGAAATCAAGACAATAAGAAAACACAGAATAAGGAAATACTGGAATTAGAAAAGTTGGGTAAATGACCAGGAACTACAGGTGTAAGTATAACCAATAGAAGACAAGATTTGTAAGAGCGAGTCTCAGTTGTTTAAGATACACTGGAGGAACACTGTCTTAGTTAGGGTTACTACTACTCTGATAAAAACACCATAACCCAAAACAATTTGGGGAGGAAAGGATTTATTCTTGCTTACAACTCTCAGGTCACAGTCCAACATCAAAGGAAGGTAGGAACTCAAGGCAGAAACCTAGCAGTAGGAACTGAAGCAGAGGCCAGGGAGGAGTGTTGTTTACTGGCCTGCAACCCTGTGGCTTATGCAGCTTGCTTTCTTATAACAGCCAGGACCACCTGTCCAGAGGTGGTAGCCCATGGTGAAATGGGCCCTCCCACATCAAACATCAATCAACAAAATGCACTACAGGCTTGCCCACAGGTCAATCTGGTGGGGCAAAAAAAAAGATACACTGGAGGAAATAGGATCATTGACCAAATGATATCTTAAGTCAAATAAATCACTAACAGAATATATCCAGCAAATATGGGACACCATGAGAAAACCAAACCTGAGAATAATAGGTATAGAAGAAGGTGAGAAAACCAGGCTCAAATATGTAGAAAACAATCATGAAAAGTCCCTCAACCAATAAAAGCCCAGCACCAGACGGTTTCAGTGCAGAATTACATCAGAAATTCAAGGAAGAGCTAATACCAATACTCCTCAAAATATTTTTTACAATAGAAGCAGAAAGGTTTACTATCAAACATTTTCTAAGATGCTATAATTACCTTAGTAGCCAAACCACACAAAGACAGAAATTAGAAAAAGAGAACTACAGACCAATCTCTCTCAGGAACACTGAAACCAAAATACTCAAGAAAATACTGGCAAATGGAATCCAAGAACACATAAGGAAAATCAGTCACCATGATCAAGTAGGTTAATCCCAGGGATGCAAGGATGGTTCAACATACAAAAATCTAGTAACATAACCCACCATATAAACAAACTAAAAAAATCACATGATTATCTCACTACATGCTGAAAAATCATTTGACAAAATTCAACACCCCTTAATGATAAAAATCTTGGAGAGATCAGGGACACCAGGAATATACCTAAACCTGATAAAGGCTATGTACAGCAAGCCAAGAGTCAACATCAAACTTAATGGAGAGAAACTATACATGATTCCTCTAAAATCAGGAGCAAGAAAAGGTTGTCTACTCTTTTCATATCTCTTCAGTATTGTGCTATAAATTCTAGCTAGTGCAAATGACAACAAAAGGAGACCAAGGGAATGTAAAAAGGAAGAAGTTAATCTTTCACTTTTTGCAGATGATATGATAATTTACTTAAGTGACCCAATAAATTCTACCAGGGAATTCTTACAGCTGATAATTACCTCCAGAAAACAGTGAGGATACAAGATTAACTAAAAAATGTCAGTAGCCCTACCATATATAGACTATAAATGGGCTGATAAAGAATTCAGAGAAATGTTGCCTTTTACAATAGCCAAAACCAACACAAAATATGTTGGGGTAATTATAACCAAATTAGTGAAAGACATGTTTAACAAGAGCTTTGAGTATTTATTGAAAGAAATTAAAGAAAATAACAGAAATTGGAAAGAACTCCCATGCTCTTAGATAGTTAGGATAAAAATAGTTCATAGCAGCATTATTACCATTATAACCAGAACCTGGAAGCAACTTAGATACTTTTCAGCTGAAGAATGCGTGATGAAAATATGGTACACTTACACAATGGATTACTAATAAATGTAAAAAGCAAACAATGAAATCTTGAAATTTGCAGGCAAATTGTATTAGAAAAGAAAACATCCTAAGTGAGGTAACCAAGTCACAGAAAAACAAGCATGGTATGTACTCATTCATATATGGATATTAGACATTGAGCAAAGATCATCAGCCTACAATCCATACCTCCAGAGAAGCTAGGAAACAAGGAGTACCCTAAGAGAGACATATACATGGTCCCCATTAGAAGGGGAAAATGACAAAATCTCCTCAGACAATTGTGAGCATGGGGGCATAGGACAGGTAGATATAATAAAGAGAAGGGAAAAAGAGAAGGAGTGAAAACATTGTGGATCAGGAAGGCTGTATCAGAGGAAGAATAGAGGAGAGCAAGAAAAGATATACCTTAATAGAGGGAGCTATTATATGTTTAAAGAGAAATCTAATGTTCTGATATCCACAAGGATGACCCCCACCTAAGAGTCTAAGCAATAGTGGAGAAACTACCTGAAATGCCTCTCCCTTGAAATGAGATTGATAACTACCTTAAATGCCATCCTAGATCCTTCATCCAGTAGCTGATGGAAGCAGTAGCAGATTCTGACAGCTAAGTAATGACTGAACTCCTAGAATCCAGTTGTGGAGAGAGATGAAGGATGAGCAAATGGGTCAAGACCATGATGAAAATACCCACAGAAATAGCTAACCTGACCAAATGGGAGCACACAGACCACAGTGGTAAAACTCATGGAATCACCATTGGACCAAACCAAGTCTTCTGTATGTGGGTGTTAGTTAGGAGACTTGGGCAGCCTATCATACCTCTGACATATGGAACCAATATTTATCCCAGGTGCACAAATGAACTTTGGGAGCCTATTCCCCATCAAGTACTTCCCTCTCAGCCTTGCCTTGATACATAAGTGAGGCCCTAGGCCTTCTGCCAAATGATAGGACAGATTTTGACTTTTCTTCCAAAGAAGGTCTCACCCTCCCTGGGTAGTGAATAGGGGTGGAATGGGAGGTCAGTAGGGGGCATTTGAGGATGGGTGGCAGAGGGAACTGGAATTGATATGTAAAATAAGATCTTTTGCAAATAAATATCTTTGAAGTCAAGGGAATATGTAGTTATGGATAATTATTTTATTAAGTATGTCAAATTTTGTACTGATTTAGACATACTGATTATCTAACTCAAAAATCTGTTTGAAATGATAGAGAAATGCTTGGTCATAATAATTTTAAAATGTGATAAGAGATTTTGAATTTTATTTTTGAAAATTTTGTGTCAGTATCCCTTTTTTGTAAAATATATTTCCCGTTGTATTTTTCTTCAAATTTTTACTTTTAACATTCCAATCATAAAATAATGGGATCATTCTAAGTTGATTAAAGATAATATGTTCTTCCATAGATAATAATTTATAATATAAATTTAGTTTAATAATG